CTAAACATCAACTTCTTTTCCCTGCAACATGACATCACATTTTCCTAACAAAGAGGTCTAGGGTCTAAGGTAAACACGATTCCCATGAAGAAAACCTCTCTTCTGGAAGGAGAACTCTACAGGTGCCACTGGCAGCCCACATTTATCTTGAGTGAACAGCGGGAGTTTATGCGTCAGGGGCTGGGCACCTGCTGATTTTAAAAGGGTGTGGACCCTACATACCAGCGCCAGGTCAGACTCTGTAAACTTCAGAGATATGATCAGGGCTTGTCCAGGCTTTCAACCTGTGTGGTGCATGATGATGTGGCCAAAACTACCAGATGGGCTTCTCCAAAGGAAACTTGTTCCCATTCCCCAAGAGGATGCCTGAAACTGGAAAAGCTAAGGACTCCTCCCAGTTTCTAACCATTGCTGCTTTGCACAGTACACAGCATCCCCAGCTCCCTGCCCACCACCTTCCTCCAGGGCCTTTTAACTCTGAGATACAGAGTTACAGTACTTGAATTTTTCCAGGAGCTTCATTTTCTTCCAGGAGCTCATAGTACTGCAGAGTCCTATTTTCCCCAAGCAAGGGAAGAGGTGCCTTCAATCATCTCACGGGAAGATGATAGCATCTGTTTGGGGATTCCAAGAGATGTTTTACTGCAGCTTTTCACAAACTGATTATATTTAAAGCTCCCTTGAGGAGTGGGGGCTGGGAGGAAACAAGCTTCAGAGAAGACCTTTGTTGGCAGGAATGAAGAACCGCTCACACCTCCCTGGGGGAGCAAGCTTGTTTAAATACCAGCAATCCGCATTCCCAAGTGCATGTGCATACACAATATGTCTAGAGTTTTAAATTTCATCTCTTGCTCTGAAAGGGTCCTGAATGGGTTAAACTGTTCCAGGCAAAAGCCTGAGGCTTTTCTATCAAAATGCTCCAGATGGAAATTACAAAATTTCACTTCTCAGCTCTGTGGTGCACACACACTGTTCTTCTAAGACATTTAAAAAAAAAAAAAAAAGACAAGACCCCTAATGTTCTGAAGAAAGAGAATTTGACGGCTCAGTACACAGTGCCACTGTTTCAGATGATTCCTCCTGGAATATTTGCATTAACTATCGATCTCAAGTTTTCTGGGGGACTGGAAAAATTCAAGGTATGGAAAGGGTCTAGGAAAGGGAGCCCTGAACAAGGCCAGGACAATGGCTGGGAGGGTCTGCTGTGAATGGGAACTCACCCAGATAACCACCCAGATTATCACCTCCTGCAACCATGCCCTGCACCTTACCACCTTTCGCTGCTCCAATCCCAAAAGACGCTAACAGGCTAGGGGCCAAAAGGTCTCAGGTATGACCGTGAATCTGACCTTGAATCTGTCAAGAATTTCTGGAGATTAATGCATATGAAGTGCTTTGTAAATTGAAAAGAGCCACGTACAAGTACTAAGAATATTATTGCTTTCGAGTCAGAGATTGAAAGGCATGAACTTTCAAAGGAATCTGAACACCCACAAACCAGAAACAATGATGGTTTTTAAGAAGGCGGCTCCAAGGCAGGCTGACTGAAGAGGCACGCCCCTCCTAAAACCACACTGGGGTAGGGCTGGGACTGCAGTCAGAAGTCCTTCAGGGCACATGCACACAGGTGCTTTAAAGGAAGCCAAAAACCCCAGGATAGACAGGGTCCCCCAAAGTCCATTTCGAGTCCCCTTGATTCAAAACATTCTGACTCTGCAAGCAAGACCCAGGACTCTGGTCAGAGACATACAGAACCCATGAGTGGCCAACGAGTAGACAGTTTACCTGCTCATCTTACAGAAAGGGAAACTGAGGTCTAAAGGGTTTAAGTGACTGACCCAAGAGACCCTTCGCTACTACTGGAGGAATTTAAACTAGAACTCAAGTTTCATTCCGAGACTTGCTTCTTGTCATTATAGCTGGCACTTAGGGAGTGAACAGGAAATGTGGACTTAATGGTCACCCTAATTCAGTAAGGAGGGCTCACTGACAGAGGAACACACTGCACTATTACTGAGTACTTAAAGTGCCAGATACTGTGCGAAATGGTTTTGATATACTGTCTCCTCGAATCCTCACAGCGACCTTAGGAAATGCATATTATGTTGCCTGTTTTCCAGGTTAGGATACAGAGGCTTGGACAAGTCAGCTAACGTAGCCAAGGTGTGAGGCAAGCGAGTGACAGCACTGAGATTTCAGCCTGGATCCCTCTGACTCAAAAACTTGCGCTCTTTACCACCAGACCAAAACAGCAATTTTCTGTTTTATCTTGGCATCTGTGAAACAAGACTGGCACCACTGCGAGTCCCATACAACACATAAAAAGCTGAATGTCATAAATCTGGCCAGGAGCTTCCAGCTAGTGGGGGTGCAGAGCCAACCCAGAAGCCAGGTCCTTTGTCCCCAAGTTCTGTGACCTTCCATGGAGAACATGGACTCTAGAATGCAAGCTTCATGAGGGAGGGGACTTTGTCTCGTTCACTGCCACATCACCAGTCCCCAGAACCCATTCATGGCACTCGATAACTAGCTGATGAATGAAGGAATAGCCACTGTTATCTGGCTGTGTGACCTTGGTTGGGAGGGCTTCTTTATCCTCTCTAAGCCTCAGTTTTCCGTGCAGGGAATAGAGGACGAAGTAATATCCACCTCTAAGTTTGAAGTCAAGATGAACCGGGACAGTTCTTATAAAGCACTTGGGACAAACTGGAATATAATGAGCACCCAAAATGTAATCTATTCTCATCACTATTACCATTATCCATTGATAGATTTGGGTTTCTTAAGGATTTTTTTTCCTACTCTGGTCAGATGAGGTTTCATAGTAAGTATGAATAGAATAGAACAGAATACAGAATTGGGAGTCAATAACCTGCTTCTCTTTTCAGATCTACCACCACCTAGCTGTGTGACCTTGGACAAGCCTCCTAATTTCTCTGTACTCGCCTGAGCTGTAAACGAGGGACCAAACCATTCAGATCTGTTTCATAAGCATTTACCGGGCGCCTTCTCTGAGTGAGACACCATGCTCAGCCTCCTGTAAAATTCTATGATCCTGAATAGTGTTGATGAAATAATATCAGAGCAAAGAGAAAGAGTCCCCTGCTTGTGGCAAGGTTGAAGAGAAACCCCAAATAGCCAACTGCATTACATCATCTCAGTGAGCAATGTTTGTAAATACACAAAGTGTTCGATTTTTAGACACTTGTGAGAAATCCTTCACCAATAAGGACTCAGCAGACACAGTTCTATTAACACTTATCAGCCCTGAACCTTCCAAAAAATAAACATGGAAAATCACTTTGCACCTCAGTCAAATGGCGTGCTCCTGGAGAGAAATCAGGGAAAGTCAAAGTTATTAACACTCCCTATGGCAACAGTTAAGAATAGGATGTATTTTTAAAAAATGACATATCTGATTAAAACTGCAGGGGGGATTCCAGGAGAGAAATGCAATGCATCTGGAAAGGACACTGTGGCCACTGGCCTATTGTTTACAAAAACAGGCCAGGATTATGAATAGTGACAAGAGGCCAAGACCTCAATTATACCTCACAACCACACCTCTCCCAATCCCAGTTCAACTGAAGCTATCCATCAGTCAACTCCCCCATCTCTGTAATAAACCCACCAATATTTGCAGCCAAGTGGATAGACGGTCCCTCAGGGCACCTCCAGCATTGACCAAGCTGATGACATTAAAAAGATCCTATAGGCACAATGGGGACTTCAAACTACCTTTCAACCTTCCAAGAGATAAGGTAGCTGCCCATTTCAAACTCTACCCCTACCCACACCCCCAGCAATCATTAAGGAAGAAACATGGCCCTTCCCAAGTCCTCTATGATAGGAAGAGGTCTCCTTGCATTGGTGCAGGGGAAGAAGGAGGGCCCCTCCCTCTGTACTCTGAAACAAAGGAAAACCCAGAGCTCCAACCATGTGGTGTAACATTCAAGGCCACCCACCTCTCCCAGTCCCCAGCTGAGGTCTCAATGGGCAACAGCCACATGGCTCTTTCTGGACTGGCCAGGAAGGGATGGCGTCTTGCACAACCATATGCTGGGGCTCTTTAACAGGCAGGATCCCCTTCTATGAGAACTGCTGGTTTAAAAAGGCTATCAGGGAGGGGGTTTTGATTCATGTGCCAAGTCAGGCAGTCGACTAGATGTGCCGACAGGTCACTTGCTTTCTCTAGGTCCACATTTTACTTTACCCCTCACATTTTTGCAGAGAGGGAAGTAAGCAGGTATTCGGGAGCAGAGGACAACAGTACAGAAGGGTTAAACAATTATGTCTTTCCATTCTCCAGAATCAGCACCACCCAGCAACATCCCAACTCCATTCAGGTTTAGATGAGGGCGGAGACGGGGTGTGAGTGTCCTTATTCTTTCTGTTCTCTGATCTCTGATTGAATGCAGACAACCAGAGACGACCAGGCAGGTACAAGGTGCACCCAAGGTGTCCACACACTTTCTGTGTCTGATGCCAAAGCAAATGTCATGTTTTGATATAGTGCATCAGAGAAAAACCCCGCCTCTCCCAGGGCTCTCCAAATGGTACACCTTCTTTCTCATGGTTGCCTTTTTCTGCCTGGACTCTTCTTCAACCTCTGAAATAAATTCCCAAACACCTGTCAGATTTCAGTTGTCCTTCAAGGAAACCTGACCCAGACACCCAGGGGCAAATTCCCGCCTTTCTCTCTCCAAGAACCTCCTGCCCCTCCCCCCACCCTATTTAGCCTGGGGGAAAGGACTGCCAAAATAATGGCCAGCCTTACAGACAAATCTAAAGCCCACTCCAAAAATTCCTTTCCAGAGCCTGTGGTCCCTGGCATGGACAATCCCTCGGAGGCTCAGATCCACCTATGGAAACCACCTCTGGGGTCAGCCTGCCCCCACCTGCTCCACCCAAAGAAATGAACATCCTGCACATCAGGATGGAAATACATGTCTCAGTGGTCCACAGAGCATATGCATTATGCTATTTTTCAAAGCCCTTACCTTTGACCTGAGTATCGTACTCTGCTATTATCTCCTTATCCTTTTTGAATTTGGCTGGAGACGTCATGTTTTCCTTCTTTCTTCCAAATTCGAATTGTGAATTGATAGATCCACGAAAAAAATTCAACCACCGAAATCAATACCTCCAAGATCGCGTCTCCTGAGGCCAGAAGGGGCCCCCCGCGGTGGTCTCCAGCGCTCCAGGGAGCGCGGGCTGCCGGCTGGGCAGGCGGCTACGGCGGGCACATGCAGACGGTGGGCGCGGGGGCCGGGCGCGGCAGCGGTCGGTTCCTGTGCTAGAGCCCGAGCCGCAGCCTCAGCATTAGCCGGGAGAACTGCAGCGCCGGGAGGCTGGCCTGGGGTCTGACATCAACGACACAGGCGGGGAGTGGAAGTCCTTCCACACAACATGGTGTGGGGGTGCGGGGGTGTGGACGCGCCCAGCTGGGTCCCTGGGAGGGAGTGGGTGCGTATCGGGGTGCCGAGGGAGGGCTGGGCGTGCTTCGCGGTTTTTTGTTGCACAGGCTCGAAGATGCTGCAAATCAAATCCCAAACGGGAGCCGCGGCAGCGCAGACTGGATCGGAAGTCGTTTGCTCCGGTTCACTTGCCTGTAAATGCAGGGAAAAGGGGAGGGGGCGATCAGCCCCAGCGCAGATCCTAATCGCTGCGGGGGTGGGGTAAGGGACGTCGTCTCCAGCGTGGCCTGGGCCCATTCATCTCGGCCAAACGTCGGCCACCGGGCCCGCAGAGCCGGGCGCAGCGAGACAGGGAGGAAGGAAGCTCCCTCCGGATTTTAAGGCTGAAAGAAAACACTTTCGAGCAGTCGCCTTCGCGGGCTTCGGGTGGGGACTGCGGCGGGAACGCTGGTCTCCGGGCGGGGACTGCGGTACCTTGGCAGCCTCCCCAGCCCCGCCAGCGCTGGGCAGCCGCAGCCGGAGGAAACCCTCCCGGCCCTGCCTCCGACGCGGCCCCCGACCCCCGGCTGGGGCAACTCCCTGGACTTCAAAGGGGATCAAAGCCAGAGAGGGACAAGCTACCCGGGCACAACTTTTCTTCCCCTCCCGTCCCTCCTCCCAGTTGTTTTGTTTTTGGTTACTAGCTTCTCTTGGCAGCAAAATGCTGGTCGTGGGGGGAGGTGTTGGAGGGGGACATCTGCAGGAAAAAGCCTGCTCGGCACGGGACACATCCAGGAAAACAATGTGGTCGGCAGAAGCAGGAAACGGGTTAGAGGCGAGGGTCGGAGTCGGGAAAACCGGGAAGGCGGGGGGCGGAAGGCAGCCGTCGCCTCTCCCAAGTCAGGGAGCAGAGTGACTTTAAATGCCACCCCCAACTGGTCACCAAGCCCAGAAATTCCAGATACCGCACCCAATCCTAGGCTGGGGTTTGTGGGGAGGTCGGTGAGGGTCGCAGTCCCGACCCCTCGCACCAGGCGGTGCGCGAGGAGACCCCTCTCCGACCCAGGCCCAGGAGGCGGGGGGGAAGCGGGCGGGAGTGCAGATCCCGGCGTTTCGCTCCCGGACGCGCCGCAGCGGCGACCCTCCCTCCTTGGCCGCCCCTTTCCCTTTCCGCGCCGGGAGTCTTCCACTTCCCGCGCCAAGAGAAAGGGCCGCACGGAGGGAAGAACAGGGAGCAAAAGCGGCGTGGTGGTTCAGGCCGGCAGGAAGCGGGGAGGGGGGTGAGAGGTGGGGTCCTGAGGCTGAACGGGAGCCGGGGATAAGTGGAACTTATGCACGCGCTTGATAGGCGGGGAGAGGGCAAGGCGAGGATTACCTTGGGTGTAAGGGGGGAGTTAGGAGACTAACGTGGGCCGCGATGTTACATGGAGCGCTAGGATGTTAGCAACTTCGGGGACCCAGATACAGGTCTGGGAGCGGGAGTGCATGAAGAGGAGCCATTCGGGGCGGGCCAGGGGCTGGGACAGGGAATGAGCCCCGGAAGCAGTGCGGAACACCCATTCTTCTGAGTCCAAGGCTATAACCCGGCTGTCTGCCAGGGCTTGGAGACAGACGAAGAAGGCAGACGATGGTTACGGGTGATGCCAACGACGGTTGCCCAAAGGTGGACCAAGGCTGCCCGTGTGCAGAGGACTTGGGGAGGGGGCTGGGTGCGGACTGCGCGGCGGCATGTGAGACAAGGCAGAGTCCCAGGCAGTACCGTAAAGGGTGGAGATGCAGTCCTGAGAAGTACTGTGGGCTGTACTGGGAGATTGGGAGTGGGTCGAGGGGTAGGAGGTCTGAGGGGTAGGAGGTCTGAGGGGTTCCGGACAGCAACGCTAAGGCGATGCCGAAAGCAGCATCCGCGCCCTCTCCTTCCCGCCTCTGCCCGGGTTTGTCCAGTCAGGGCTCCAGCCCGGTGGCCGGGGAGAAGAAAGGGGAGAGGGAAGGAGCCTTTACCTGGCTCTGACGCGACGGGTCTCAGGCCCCCGGCTCCGCTTGCCACTCAGAGCTCTCCTCCCCTCTCTTCCCCGCCACCCGCTTCTACGCAGATCGGTCCCCTAGTCCCCTGAGCAGCCTCTGCCAACTCCGCGGGACCCCGCCGGGAGGCAGGACCCACCCCCTTGCCAATCACTGCCCGTTTTCTATCGACCGATGGAGCCAGTAGCCAATAGGAATAGCTGATCCCGAGAGGACAGGCGTGAGAAGGAGGGGCTGGAGAAACTGGGAGGTGTGACTAGAACTACCGAGGCGTGGTCTCAAAGTAAGCTCCTCCCGGGGTTGCCGAACCCCAAAGCAGAACTGATAGGCAGGATTAAGACAGAACCAACAACCTAACACAAACTCCTGAGAGAAGTCACGACCGATTGGACCTGGGTAGAGAGGAGAGGCGTTGCGGAGAATTTTAGCCAATAGAGAGTAGAGACCGGCGGGGACTGTAGAACGTCTTTCAATAAGAATCGCGAAGGGCGTGCCTTTCTGCTTTCACTGGGGCGGGAGAAGGATTCGCCCAAACCGCCTGGAGCCGGCCAATGAGATTGGAGGTGGGGCCAAGTATGGCCAACCAGAAAGCCGAACTGATCTAGGCACCGTTACTTGGGCGGGGCGTACGGCCTCCTAGCCACTAGGATCTCGTCAGGGGCAGGTTCCCGAGCCTTCCAATGCGGAACGTGGGCGAACTCTAGTTCTCCCAATCAGTGCGCCGCGCTGGCAATTCAAACTGACAGCCGGTTGGAGAAGCGGAGAGAGCGGAAGAGGGAGCAAAAAACGACTTGTGCGGTGACAGAGACCCCGACGCCAACTGAGCCCCCAGAGCGACTTCTGCCCCACTCCACCAACACCACCGCGCGCTCTGGAGCGGCCGCGAGGGAGAGACTTGAAGGGACCGCGGAGGGCACTGGGGAGAGCTGAGGGGAGGGAGACGCGAGAGGAACGGCGCGAGAGCCCTCACGCTGAGTGAAGCGAGGGGCCGGCGAGCGAGCAGAGAGGAGGAGGCTCGCGGGAGGGCTGAGGAGCGGTTGGGATCGTCCCGGTGGGAAAAGCTGAGGAAATTTCTGAATCCTGCGGAGAGGAGAAAGATTTCCAACGAGGAGGCGTGGGTAGGGCAGCTTAGCCTGAGATCCAAGAGAGAGAAATTGGAGCGCTCCGAGGGAGGGGCTTAAGAGACAAGCCTTTAGATAAGGCGCCTGTACCGGAGAAGCCCAGGGAATTGCAAACGGGGCGGGAGCTAGAGTAGAGGATCCTTCTAGACGGGAGAAAGGGAAAACTGTAGAGAAGTTCCCGAGGCACCTTGCGGCTTGCCTCTTCCCCACTTCAAACTCCACTCCCTTCCCCGAAAGTTAAAGGGAAAGCCAAGTTTGCTGCTTCTCCCCTCTTCCCGTCAATAAATATTACTTTTACTCTCGCAGGGGAAAACAGAAAAGAGCTCCTTTCCTTCGCAATTTTAGGGCTTAGAGAAGTTCGAGGCCTCGCAATTTAATTTTTTGGCCTCGGGGAATCAAACTAGGAAGGGTATTGCTCTTGTTTTCCATTTTCAAAAATCCCACACCTCATCCTTTCCGGGACGCCATGTCTACCAGCAGCTGTAGTTTCAAGGACCGGCGCGTGTCCATCCTGTGTTGCAAATTCTGTAAACAAGTGCTCAGCTCTAGGGGAATGAAGGCTGTTTTGCTGGCTGACACTGAAATAGACCTTTTCTCCACAGACATCCCTCCTACCAAGTAAGTCATACTAGTGGCGGGCAACGGTAGCCTTTAACTAAATGGGAAAACTGTATGGCTTGGACCCCTGAGAGTCAACAGGGAGGTTATCATTTTGGTGTTCCAGCCACTCCCAACAGTCTGATGATCCCTTTGGAGTTTGACTAAGGGGGCAGACTGTCTGGACTAAGTCTGTGGTTTAGCCAGAGTGGTCAGTCCTGATGTAATGTTTCTAGTTCAATTATAGTCATGTGGTCCCGTAAGTTGGATCCCTGGCGCTGTGCCCTGCCCAACTATCCTCTCACTGGATCAAGTCCATGACCAAGACTCTAGGTAATTCAGGCAAGACTTTCTGTACTGTAGAGAGGAGAGGTCACTTAAGGTTTTCATTTTTACCCATAAAGTTTTACATCAAAAAACATTCCCTAGTTTTTTTGCATTATTTGCTATTGACATGGTGCATCAGATCCATTGTCCATCTAATTCTGTATTATTTTCTTGTAATCTCCCTCTCTTCCTCTCTCTCTGTTTCTGAATGAGAGAAACTTATATAGATGAAATAGAGACTTAGCCCTAAAACAATCTTGTCTCCCCTAAAGCCTGTTTTAGATATTATGCATTCGTTTGCATACTTAAATACTTTTTAAATTCTGTTTTCAGTCACTGCCCACTTTTGGGTGTAAAGTCCTTAAGAATTTGCTTCCTA